AAGTGCTGCGTCGGCTGGATGCTTTTTCCATGGACGTAGAGAGGAAGCAAAACCTGCTGCAGTCAGTTTGCTGCTGTGCTTCGGCACGTCCCTGTGTAGGAAGCGTGGGGTTACGCAGTCACCAAGGGTGGCAGATGGAGCTGTTGTCCCAAGGGCTGATCCCATTGAGGTTGCTGGGGGATGGAGTGGGCATGCAGCATTTTTACCCAGCTTTTGACTCTTGATTTCCAGACCATAAAAAGAGCAAAGTTCCAACATGTGGGAAGGCTCGTAGTTTTCTTTGAAAGCAAAACAAATGAAAACGGAGGAGGAATTCTGCATATCTGCTCTGTCTCGTTTCTGGACTTGAGTGCTGAGCTCCTAATCCTCTCTCCAGCCACTGACTCACTGCGTACGAGTCACAAGATGCCTTTGTACCAGATCCTCCTTTCTCTTCTTCCTAAACCAGGCAGGCGGAGGCAGCTGCCTTTGAGCATTCTCTGCAGCCACGCTGGGTTATTGACACCAGCACGGCGAGTGGGATTAGATATGGCACTTGGGGATGGGTTGGGGTTGGACTCGGTAATCTTAGTGGTCTTTTCCAATCTTAATGATTCTGTGATTCTGTTCCGTGTGATCTGCTACCTGGCTTGGGCAGACCCCAATGGAAGAGGGGGTCGAACCCTCCTGGAAGGCAAATAGGGGTGGCTGGGGATGCCCTCCTTCTGCCCACCCAGCTGCTTTGGGATGCACAGCTGCTCCCTGTTGCAGCTTCTCCTGCTTCAGCTCGTGGAGCTGAGCGTGTCAGGGAGCCTGGGCTGCAGAGCCAAGCAGCTGATGGGTGAGAACAGCCCCCCAGCTGTCGCTGCTGTCCGGGTGTCCTGGCAAAAACAGCCCCTTTTCACAGTCGGCTGAAGCTTCGCTTCTGGCCCTTTTTCTGTTCTTTTCCTGTTTCCCCCTTTGTTGTTATTTTATGTTGGAACCGTTCCTGGTCTGAAGTGGCTCGGAGCAGGCAGGAAGGAAGGCGGAGAACGTCAAAAAGTCAAAGAAGAAAACACATCCATCTGTCTGCCCATCACCCCAGTGCTGCAGCACTGTGTGGGGTCAGGAGCAATGCAACACAGCACAAGAGGAAAGGACACAGCCTGAGATCGACCTGCCGAGGTCTGAAGGAAAGCCTTGGTACCAGCATAGCACAGTGATGGTGTTGGCAGCTGTGGATACTGCAGCACTAGGCACCTTTCTCCAAATCACAGCATCACCCACCAGCTCTGCGGGCTTCCTAAGCACAGCCAGGGAAAGGAAGTGGCTGAGGAGCAGATGGGATGATCCCAACCTGCCATGGTGGGGGCAACATCT